TAAAATTATTAATGATTTTGTATTTTTTACAATTTTTGACCTTTTCAAGTTTTTAAAAATAAAAAAAAAAAAAAAAAGTAATAATTTAACAATAGATTAGGAATTGAAATTTGGGGACAATATTTGCAACAGATTGAAATGTGTTGCTACGATTTTCAAACAGATTTCATCGCTAATTTGTTAGTAATTTGTTTTAGAACAATTTCTTTGATCTAGTTAGATATAGCAAAACCCGACCGCCCCTGATCACCCTTCGATCCTGACCAAATTTCCTAGCCCTAGACCTCATACCCAATCCTATGCGTTAACAAGTTTTTTTTTTTTTTTTTTTTTTTTTAAGTGATATATAAACTAAAATTATAATGAGTTTTTTTTTTTTTTTTTTAAATGAAATATGTTATTGCTAAAAACTAAGAGGAATGATATTTTTAGCAAATTTTTGTCACAAAATATCACATTTAATTTGACTCAAATATTTTGTCACTAATACCTCGATTTTAACATTTATAAATGATTTTTTTTGTAATGATAAATAATTCTTTATGACAAATTAGTTTGTAATTATAGCAGTTGTTACTAAATATAGTGACTAAAGTTTTTATGACAAATATGTTTATCACGATAACAATTTATCTTGGCGCTTAAATTTGACTCAAACATTTTGTCATTAATACCTCTATTTCAACATATATTATGACAATTTTTTATTTTATTTTTGTAATAATAAATAAATTCTTTTGTGACAAAATAATTTGTAATTATAGCATGTATAACTAAATCTAGTGACTAAAATGTTTTATGACAAAATATATTTGTCACAATAAATAATTTACCTAAGCGCCAAAATTTGGTGCAAAAAATTTGTGACGAAATATTATGATAAAAGTGTTTTTCTTCATTATATTTCTTATATTTTTCTTTATTGTGATAAAATATTATGACAATATGTTTTTTAGTCACTGTAGATTCTCTTTGTCATACTTAATGTGATGTTTCTTTATTTAATCATAATACCTATATTACTCGTTACAAAATAACATTTGACAAAATTAATTTTGTCACAATATAATGTATTTCTTGTAGTGAGGCCCCCTCACATCAAACTTGTATTATTTTTTATTTATTTTCTTTATCTAGATTGTATGCCTAAAATTTGAAGAAAGGCCTTTACTATTGCCTTCTGAATGAGCCATTTGTTAGGAGATAGTGCAACAGAGAACATACATTCGAGATTAATAACATATGATTAAAATAATACTACCACAAAGAGACACAATATTTACGTGGTTCGGCATAACCTTCCTACGTCCACAGATGAGAGAAATCCACTATGGTTTCATGAACATGATATACAAGATTATAAAACACCATAAACTCAATACATAAAACATAGCGGAAACAATCCCAGTTTCTAAGTCACTCTCTCAATGATGTTTAATAACCCCTACGTCAAATACCTTGTGTTCTCACATTCTCTCATAACCTTGAATTGGTTCTCACCCCTATATTTATAGGTAGTATATGAGATATTCTTTTCCTAATAAGATTCATATTTCAACTCCTAATAGAACTCCTAAATTATATTCCTATTTACAATTGTATTCTTTATTAAATAGTTTTCCTAAAGACATACAATTTCACATGGGAACGATAGGAAAACGAGCCACAATATCCCAACAATCTCCACCTTGGCGAGTTTTCCATTGCAGTGATGAAAGTGAGAGTTTTCCATCACAACAGCGAACATGACGAAGATAATAATGCTTTGCCATCATTGCATCCAGGGCACATAGTAACCTTGTCCAATTTTGCTAACATCTAGGTTGCCCAATAGCCATGCCAAATTTCTCACCAAGATTTGAGAACCACTCCACCTACAACTTAAACCTGTTGTAGTATGTCTCTTGTGAGCATCCACCATCTCGAAAGAACTAATCTCCCAGGTCATAACTTGGAGCTCTGATACCACTTGTTAGGAGATCGTGTTGCAGAAAACATACATTTGAGATTAATAACATAGTATTAAAATCATACCATACAAAGAGACAAAATATTTATGTGGTTCGGCATAACCCACCTACATCCACAGAAGAGAAAAATCCATTATAGTTTCATGAATACAATATACAAGAGTACAAAACACCATAAACCCGATACATAAAACAAAGCAGAAACAATCCTAGTTTCTAACCACGCTCAACCCAGTACCTAGGGCAGAAACAATGCTAATTTCTAAGTCACTCTCCTCCCATAGTGTTTAATAACCTTTACGTCAAATACCTTGTGTTTGCACATCCTTTCATAACCTTTAACTGGTTCTCACTCCTATATTTATAGGTAGTATATGAGATATTCTTTTCCTAATAGGATTCGTATTTCAATTACTAATAGGACTCCTAAATTCTATTCCTATTTACAATTGTGTTCTTTATTAAATAGTTTTCCTAAAGATATACAATTTCACATGGGAACAAATAGGAAAGTGAGCCACAATATCCCAATACCATTCACCATGGAATGAAGCTTGGGAAACTTCAAAAAGAGCTGACAAGCTCAACATCCGGCTGCAGAAAGACACATCAGTTTGATAAAGCTCAAACTCTACCAGGATACGGGTGTTCGGACCAACAAGTAATAGAGCTACTTCATATTCAGACAATCACCTATAGCACTGATTGGAATATTGACGCCTATCAGGAGTGCTTACTAAAGCCCATATCCGTTAACTGCTCGTGGGAATGGTCATATGTGGCAGTAGCCATCAAGACCAACCCTTTACAAAGAGGCTCTTTTATTCCGAAAGGCTAACAACTGATTTTGACAAGCTATTTTTCTTTCAATATGCTAGTCATAGTGTGCTCATCTAACCTATTGAAGTTTAGTCTTGTCCACTAGGTAGCGGGAACTTTTCTTTTGGAATCACTTGGTTAAACAATAGGCCCTTCACATCAAACTTGAATTTTTTTTTTTTTTTTTTTTTTTCATTTTCCTTTATCTATTTGCGATGTGGAGATTCAAACTTGAGACTTTTGGCTAAAAACTTAAAGGTCTCAATGCCATGTTAAATTGTCATTCCCATGTAAGAGCTTAAGTTCATAGGTGATGGCTCAACATATATAAGATTTGAATTTTTTTTTTTTTTCATTTTCTTTATCCAGTTTGTATGTAGGGATTCGAACTTGAGATATTTGGCTCTGAAACCATCAAACATATATATGGATTAGTTTATATAATGAATTTCTATATATAACATTATATGTCATACAAACTAACTAATGTATTATAATATGATTAGAGGTCTTAAAATTAATAATTAATTAATTATTTCATCTTTTCTTGCAAGGATTATTAACAATTATTTATATAATAATATATAGTGTCACGTATTACCAGTGCGATAATATAATTATATATATAATACCTTAATTACCATAACTAATGTAATTATACATATGGTAGAGTTATTGCTAAGAAATTTTTAAATATAAAACTCTTTGCTATTCTCACTACCATTTTAATTAATAAAAAAACAATAGTCTCCTATAAATAAATAATAGGGTAAACCATCGTCTTTTTGAATTGTACTAACATCGTCACATCTAAAAAAATATAACCTAATATAATCATAAGGGGTTGTTTGGATCGGGGGTATATAAGATAACGAGGGTAATCTTTGTTTATTTTGCAAGATTCAGGTGTTTGGTTTGCAAGTAATAAAATATAACGATAATCTTTTATTGTAAATAGTGTTTACTATTGGTAATGTGAGGGGTAATCTTATTATCTTGTTAGAGGGTGTTATTAAAACATTATCGGGGTAATATGATTTTTTTACCCATTTTGCCCTTAATTAAACACCATTTCAGACACAATTGCCTCAAATGTCTATTAAATAACAATTACCCAACCCCCTACATTTGAGAAATTAGCTAAAGCACACTAGTCACAAAAAAAGTTTAAAAGTTAACAAAATACCCTTAGCCACCCAAGGCCACCGTCGGCCGTGACTCACCACTACCAGTTGCTGGACTAGTTGTGCACTAGTAAGACCTTTTTCGACCATGGATTTATGATATATGGCCAAAAACAACTAGATCTGGCGTTTCTATGGTTGTTTCACGACCAAAGATATGGCCGTGAAACAGCCACAGTTTTGGCCATGAAATGGTCATAGATCTGGCCATGGATTTGTGATCCATGATCATTTCTAGCTTTGCCAGCGCACGGCTGGCCATATACAACCAGTCGTACGCCATTCTGTCGACTATCGGCAACAGCCGGCGGTGGTGGTTGGTTGCCAACAGTGGCTTGGGATAGGTGGGGGTGTTTTTGCTATAAATTAAAATTTTATATGGCTGGAGTGTTTTAGAAAATTTTCAAATGTAGGGGGTTAAAAGAAATGATTCAAAAAATAATAATAAAAAATACTATTATATTAATATTTAATAAGAAGGGAAATTTAGTAATCTATAAAATATATCTAACCATTTATTCTCTCAACCAAACATAGTATTCACCAATTTATTCGAACTAATCAAACACATTTTCTAAAAATTTTCAATAATCTTCAAAGTGATCTTACTTTCCGTTAATATAATATACCTTTATAATAAAATATTATGCGATCCAAATGCCCCATAATAGTCATATAAATAATATATTTTTAGCTCTCTCAACCTCCCTGCAACAAAGATGGTCAAATCTCTTGAATTCACGAACTATATCTGATCATTCTATATTTAGCATTCTATATATATATTTTTTTTTAATTTTAGAAAGAGTTTTAACTTATTTGACTTAGACATTCATTAACAACGTTTTTTGTTTTACTATTTAAAAGCCTTAAAACAAGTTTTGAAAGGAAAATTGTTGACTCCACTGATTTTAGAAAGGGTATCCTTGTAACAAACAAATTACTAAAAATAAGTATGATTTCACATATATAAATTACCCAATAACACTTTATTCTAAACACAATAATAAAGTTAACCAATTCAAGAATGGCTTACAGAATAAAACAATTTGCCATTCTTGCAATTGTGTTAACAACAACTTTACTTTCTTCCCAATTAATTCCAACCGTATTTTGCACAGACATTCCATCGGAAAAAGCAAAACTTGATGATTGGATTGGCAAAAGCATCAAAGACTATAATCATAGGAAGACTAAATTGAATCATACGAAATCTCCCTTATATGACATTTTGGCTGCTGCAGAGGCTCATGTTAAGGTAATAACTGTTAAGAAAGATGGTAGCGGAGATTTCAAGACGGTGACTGATGCAATAAAGAGCGTACCTGCGGGGAATTCACAGAGGGTGGTGATTAAGATCGGTGGAGGGGAGTATCGAGAGAAGATCATCATTGACAGATCAAAGAAGTTTATAACACTTTATGGGGACCCAAATGAGTTGACAAAGATTGTTTATGATGGGACGGCAACAAAGTATGGTACATTTAATAGCGCTACGGTGATTGTAGAAAGTCATTACTTTGTGGCTGTTAACATTGCATTTGTGGTACGCCTTTTATATTCATTCTTTCTTTTTACTTTACATATACTTTGAATATCAACGTATTAAACAATGGTTCAGATATTATAAAATTGTTGATGTCTGTATTATACATACACATAATACTATAAACATAGAACATAAGTTAACCTTAAGATATTAGTTAAGTATAATGAAAATTTAATTAACTAGAAGATGTAATATTGGCGTGAAAATCACATAGTTTAACAATTATATGTAAAAACATTAGCATAAATATTTTTTTGCATATTACTTACTAAATTGTTTACAATTTATTGAACAAAACCAATATATGGAATGGTATGATCCAATTTATTGATGATTTGACATAACTCAACTCTTGGATCATATTATCAATTCAGTAATATTGCACTTACAAACCATTCTCTTTAATTTTCTCTCACAAACGCGACTTTTCAGTTTGTAATTGGTTAGTTTGCAATGAGTCCTATCTACCCAATAATGGGTCTCATCTACTCAAATTCTAATTGACCAATTTCTAGTTGTCATGTTATCTTTTGTAAAATAAAGTTATGATAAATATTTTTCAACCAATCTTTACTCTTATCAATTTTATCAGTGAGGTCACTATAGTTGATGCATGACAGATAATAAATGGTAATAAAAGCTCAATATTTGTGAGGTCACTATCTGCCATCTTAATCATTTTATAGTAATGATCTTAGTTTAAGTTTCTTCTTCTTCTTCTTTCGTAGAATTCATCCCCGATGCCAGATAGTAGAAGAACGGATGCACAGGCAGTTGCCTTGAGAATATCAGGAGATAAGGCAGCATTTCATAATTGCAAGTTTGCAGGTTTTCAAGACACATTGTGTGATGATAAAGGAAGACATTTCTTTAGAGATTGTTATATTGAAGGCACAGTTGACTTCATTTTTGGAAATGGCCAATCCCTATATTTGGTACTTTTTATATTTCTCTTAATTATTATAATTTGAATTTTGTTAACCTCCATTCTTTAAAACAGTAAGAAAGATCTTTTAAATTAGGATTTAAAAAAAAAAAAATCTAATTAAATATGTTTAATATATTTGATTGCATATTAATATATCAAGAATTACATGGATACATGAGATTAGCTTCTTAACTAATGAATTAGCATATGAAAGCTAAACATTGTAATATTGATGCAGAACACCACCATAAAATCGGTTGCAAAAGGCTTGGGAGTGATCACTGCAAATGGAAGGGAAAAAGCAACTGAGAAAAGTGGTTTTACATTTGTTCATTGTACCATAGTTGGCACTGGTGACATTTATCTTGGACGTGCATGGAAGGAGAGTCCTAGAGTGATCTTTGCTTATACATATATGGGCACTCTCATCAATAGTGAAGGATGGTCAAATAGCATGATTGGCGAAAAAGATAACAAGTATGAAACTTGATAATCTTTTCCCCTATATAGTTAATTAACAATATTTTAATAATTATATATACTTATTGATTTGTGAATTGGAACATTTTGTAGAGCTGTGTATTACGGCGAGTACAAGTGCAAGGGACCAGGGGCTAGTGCTTCTGGTAGAGCCAAATTTGCCAGGATACTATCAGATGAAGAAGCTGAACCTTTTCTGAGCATGACTTACTTAAATGGAAACAAGTGGATTCTACCACCTCCTACTGTATGAATTGATTCAAGTATACAACAAAGAGCAAGGATGTAATAGGGAAAATTCTACCATAATCAATGATAAAAATATAAAATATTTGTAAGTATTGTTCGTGAACTTATGAAATATGTGTGCACATTATTATTAATTTACTTGTGGAAACATTTCTGTTTATGTGTAAACATTCCTTTAATCTCTTCTCATAGTACATGTGTCCATTCGCAAGATATTTTATCTCGATTTGTTTTCATGAGACTTGTGTGATAAGATACTTTACAAGTGTCACTCTCTCTTTAGAGTGGTCCATGAAGGTTTGTTAAAAAGTTTCTCTTACGTGCAAGGAGGTAACCAGAAACTCATCCTAAAGGGCCAAGACGTTAATTAAACTTAATAATACAATTATAAATAAATTTATAATAAATAATATATTGGGTATAAGTTATACAAAAATATGAGTATTTGTTTATAATGCTCTTTATAATTATGTGTTTGACGATATGGAATAAATTTATAATACTTTAACAAGTGTAAAACAAAACCAAAAAAATTTACTAATGAACAAGTTATTAAGCCAACACAAATAACAACACCTCCAAACTAAACTATAATAAAATTTATACTAAAAAAACATTCAAAAATTTATCTAGCTTTTATAGTAAAATATTATATTTTTTGTTGTAATTTCACTTTTATGTTTCAATCCCTTAAAATAATGCATCAAAATTCATATTTTTTATATTTATCTTTTTTTCCTAACTTCAATATTTTGATATGACCCATCTATGGGTAGTCTAGATGATTAGAACGAATTGGGGATAGTGTGGGTAGGCACACGGTCTGAGATTCGATTCTCCATCTAAACATCCGCAATTTAAGTGGGGGGCCGTGACGGTGGATTGTATATATATAAATATTGAAACACAAAACAATTGACAATAATTTAATTTGACAAACTAATTTTGAAAAGATATTTATTTTATAAAATATATGAAAAGACATACAAACTTTCTTCATTTTATTCTTTGTACAATTAAATAACATATATAAAATCTATTATATAATTTATTAAATGTATTTGTGAGATTTTTTTGTAAAAACTAAGGCTCCATTTGGTTCACTTTTTTATACTTTTTAGAAAAGTTTTTTGAAAAATGTTGAATTGGGCGGGTATTACGATGTAGGATTTAGAAATTAATAAAAATACCCCCTATGTTTGTTTATTTACTAAACACCCCTATAATAAAATATTAAAAGTTAACAAAAGCATCCCTAACCCACCCATTAAATATGGACAGTCGGCCACCACCGCCAGAGGGTGGTCGGAGTCGCCGTATCGGCGCATGACTAGCTGTATCTTGCTGGTCGTGTGTCGATATGACCTTTTCCGACCAGATCCATGAAGGATATAGCCAGTAAAGGCCAGATCTATGGCTATATCTAGCCATTGATGGCCAGATCTGGCCGCATTTGCTCGTCAAAGATGACCAAAGATACGGCCGTCGTTGATGATCAACGACGACCATATGTTGGCCGTCGTTGACGACTGGCTACGGCCAAAGATCTGGCCGTCAACAGCCAGATCTTTGGCCTTAGATCTGGCTTTTTTCGGCCTGATCCATAGTGGATCTGGCTGGAAAAGGCTAGATCGTTGCACTACCTGTCAGATTCAGCTGGTAGTGTGCCATTATACCAGATTCTGGCCATCTTCCGACAGTGGTGGTCGGAATCTGGTAAATGTGGGTTGCTGGGGTGTTTTTGCAATTTCTAAAAAAAATATTTAGGGGTATTTAATTAAATTAACAAATTTAGGGGGTTTAAAAAAATTAAAAATATTGTGAATTTTTGCAATTTTACTGTTTAACTTTATTGGGAATACTAATAATAGTATTTCCAAGAGTGAGCCAAACGAAGCCTAAGAATTTAATTTGATATATTTGATGAATTTAAAAATTAATTTCATTCATTCATATATATATATATATATCTTTGCTGCCATTGGGGATTGTGGAGTGTGGCTCCTTGTTGAAAGCTTGAAGGAAGTTCAAGTTTTGTGCTGGAAGGTGTGTTTCGGCTATCCAAGCTCAAGAGGTGCTTGAGTTGTCCAAGTGAATTCTTAGACTCAAGCAAATTGTAGCTGAACATTGGAGTAATCAAATGGTGGAGTTAAGAGTCTTGTAGAATAGGGAGTGTTTTACAGTGTTGTACTTTATTTCAACTCTGGATTAGTCTGTAATGTGTTTTGTTATAATAGATTTACTTAATCTGGATTTAGTCTCATAGATGTAGGTTAAAATGGTTTTTAGCGAACCATATAAAAATCCCAATGTACTTTATTTTTCGGCTCATGTTTGATTAATTTGCCTAATGGTTTTTTAATTAACTCCTAAAAGCATTAACACCTGTTAAACACATTCCGCTATGTGTTTGAAGAGTTCATACACTCTTTCAATATTAATGGACAAGAAGATGAGTATGGATAGTTTTTAATCATGAATTGCAATTGAAAATCACCACAAAAATCTTAACCGTTTTACCTCATCATAATCTGGTTTCTCTTTTGATAATTTCTCAACCATCTGAAACCTCAAAGATGCTTCACCCTTTTTTTTTTTTTTTTTTTAAATTAACCTAATCTTACGCTATCTTTCATGGTTTGTCATCTCTTTGGCGCTTGTATTAATAGTTTGGTTTACTTTCGGCAGGATTTGTCAGTAAAAAAGAATGAAAAGTTTTCCTTGTTCATCTTTACCACTATTGGTAGATTAATTTTAATAATATCTCGATTAATTTTAATTGTAATAAGAAGATACAAAATGTTGAACAAATAAACAAGAAAATAGGTTTTAAATTAATATCAACTTTTTAAAGCTTTATCACTTTAAAAGAAAGGGAAAAAAAATTAATTATGGTGAATTAATTAAGCAATAGAGGCAAAACAAATATAGTTGTGGCGGAATATTTATTCTATGTAAGGAAAAAATTATTATTAAGGTGGAAAGTGTTAGCCAAAATCAAGCAAAGCTTGATCAATGGCACTTGTTTGATTCAAGCCATCGAGCCATTGATCAAGCTTTGTCTGATTTTCGCTAACAGAAAGTGTTGAGTAATATATAGTTTTAATAGAAAGACTTAAAAAACTAACTAAGCAGGATAATTGTTGTGCAAAAAATTGTGAAAAAGAAAATTATTTGGTCAATAATGTTTTTTTATTATTTGAAGATTTTGCTATTTAACATAATTCACTACAATGATTTTTTTGTTTTCTTTATATAGAAATAAAATATATGTAATTATGACAAATTTAATAAAAATCTTAGAGAGTGTTATGCCAAAAAATACACAGCACCACCAATGAGAGCTTAACAAACACTCAAAGACAAAATGATATTAGCTGTCAAAACTCAAACCGCCTCAAAGAGATATTTTATATCAATCATATCTCATTTTAAGATAAGGATTAAGGAGTGGTTCCCATGTGTCAAGACAACTTGTAAAATCACTCATTACATTGACTTCAAAGGTATAAGTGGGCACCTCTCTTCATGAAAAAGAGAGGTTGGATATATGAGAGCTTATTTTTCTCTGTAAACAAAACATTCTCCATCTTTGTACGCCTCAAAGGTGATATCAGAAAAATGGTCAGAGAATAATAAAATAATAATGGATGTAGGAATAACTTTAAGCATCCGAACCATTATAAAAATCTCTCTTGTCAATTTTTTATTTATGTTTCTTCAAACATATATCATCTCAGAACCATACTCAACTCTCATAATCATATCACGTGTAATTTCTAAGATCTTCTTAACACTTTGCACATGCGAGGTCGTTGGTGTCAAAATCATGCATCAACCGTTTGGCACTATAAGGAGGGTCTAATTCACATCAGCTTTCCATGTTTTTGCAGGAAGTCTCAACCTCTTCAGCAAATTCCAGCTTCTTTTTCCAGAATCACGTTATCAAATGTGAAAATCTGAGTAGGATAAAGTCTGAATCTGGTGAAGCAGTAAACACAAGAATTGTAGCCCTTCGAGTTAGATATCTGATGGTTCAAGAATTATCCAAATCTCATATCTATAGCTCAAGTTATCATTAAAATACTGAAGCTTATTTCGGATCAGAGCTCTCAGATCACGTAGTCAAATCTCCCAGATCGTGCGCTCAGATCTCTCAGATCGCGTGGCCAGATTGCCTATATCGCACACATAAGAGCTCTCAGATCGCATGGCCAGATCGCTCAGATCGTGCGCTCAAATCTCTTAGATTGCGTGGCCAAATCGCTCAGATCGCAAGCATCAGAGCTCTCAAATCGCGTGATCAAATTACCCAGATCGCACGCATCAGAGCTCTTAGATCACTTGGTCAGTTGCTCAAATTGCACACATTAGAGTTCTCAGATCGCGTGGCCAGATCGCACATTCAGATCTCTAAGATCGCGCGAGTCAGAGCTCTCAGATCTGCGCATCAAATCTCTCAGATCGCGAGCTTAGATCACTTTGATCTTTAGCTTCAGATCGTGCTCTCAAATCTCTCAGACCAGAAAGAGCACCCACGCTCTCTAGCTCCCAAGCTCTTGAGATCACGTGTTCAAGATCATTGAGATCACGCATTTAATTTAGATCATTCAGATCACGCTTTTCAGTGGCCAAATCATGCTTCCAAGCACTTAGATCATGCTTCCGAGCGCTCAAATCGCTAGCCTTGCATTCTAGATCAAGCTCTGTGCTTTTTTATCGAACTTCTTGTATTCTCAAATCAAGCTTCGAGCTTTCTGATCGAACTTCTTGTATTCTCAGATCAAGCTTCGCGCTTTCTGATCGAACTTCTTGTGTTCTTAGATCAAGGTTTGCGCTTTTAAATCGAACTCCTTATGTTCTTAGATCAAGCTTCGCGTTTTCTGATCGAATTTCTTGTGTTTTTAGATCAAACTTCGCGCTTTTTGATCAAACTCTTTGTGTTCTCAGATTAAGCTCGACACTTTCTGATTGAACTCCTTAGGTTCTCAGATCAAGCTTTGT